GATATCCTACTGAGGATAAAACCAGAAAATCGTATAATCTGGAATCGGAACTGAGAGTCGAATAAATTAATCCTTTAAGCTTAAACAATGACAGATTTAAATCAATGAATCTTGTATTCTCGAATAGGAAATAAGAGTTAAATAACATCTTGCAACTTTGCATATGGAATAAGAGTAAAACTGGATTATCCTGAAACCTTAAATACGAAATAAGAGTCTAATTAGAGGTTCCTTCAACTATGAATAGGAACTAAGAGTAAAATAAGAGGTTATTTCTACTTTGAATAGGGACTAAGAGGAAAATCAGAGGTTCCTTCAACTTTGAATAGGAACTAACAGTAAAATAAGAGGTTCTTCAACTTTGAATAGGAATTAAGAGTCAACTCAAAGAATCCTGCAACCTTAAACATGATCTGAAAGTCAAATCATAAAAACCTCGTGCATATCCAAATTTTATTTTCACTTTTTCCATGTTTTCATAAAAAATTCGAATTGTAGGCGAGAGAGCGCTGACAATACAATTTTACATGTAATTTACACCTCCAAGACAATAAAACTCCAGTACAAAATAGTAAATCGGCTTATTTTCAAACTCATCAAAGTCATTGCTGAAATAAATCTTTAAAATAATTTCATTAAATCCGACGAAAATTTAGTAGTAGTAAGACTTCCTACAAGCTTGATCGTGCGGATGCACACACACCCGGTATTACTACGTCACTCGATCCGCGTTTCCACGGGTGACAATAAAGGAGGTGTTGGATATTCCTAAATGAGACAGCAACAGTATCTTTAAAAGCAGAGATACACACACATACATGTAACTATGCTATCATTATATAAACAAAACAAAGTTCTGCATCGTAAATCAAACTGCATATTACTATCTATATTGATTATAAGCAGTTTTATTTCAACATGTATATAAACTTGTTTCCATTAATTGAAATTTAAGCAATCCGTCGCTATGGTGACAAGAACATTAGTGCCAACTGCATGTTACAGTCATATCGCTAACATTTAACGACGGTAACAGTTTAGTACTAATTAATTATAATAATTTGTTATTTTTTTGTATTTGTGGTATGCATTTAGTTAGCTCTACAACATATCCCCCGTCGCATTTGACATCTAAATTTCTAGCTATCTGTATTAATATCACGCGGTGTTATTTTGTATCAAAAATAGTGATCTGGATGTCTTGTTGTTGACAGTAATTGGGTAATAGAAGTCAACAATTAGAAAGGTCAAAATAAGATATAGTGTATTTAGTTGCCAAAATAACAAAAGCACTGACACATCAAGAAGTGAGCAGCAAACGCTACCTAACGGCCTTGATGAATGGTCCGCAAATAGCGAACATCAAAAACATCGAGGTTTTTTATTCAAGTTTTGAAATATTTTTTTCATGATTATTTCTATGAAATGTTCCTATTTAATATTCGTATTGATGAATAATAAAAGGACACAATGGTGTATACGTCAACAGGACAGCAACTTAACGAAAATGTAGGAAAAGCCAGAAGACACCCATAACGACACAAATAACCAAATGACATCTTGAGATCAACATACAGTCTTCAACTAGCGTCTCGTAAGGTGTCTTAACTCTATCGTTCCGAGTCTAAGTAGATGCAAATAAATTAAAACAGAAAATATCAAACATCTACCATCACAAAAACAATTTATATAAATATTGTTGGGGATTTTGTATTGTTTTCTTTAGTTAGAAAATCAAATAACCTTCATTCAAAAATGCGAATTTATTTTATAAATGAATGTAACGTAAACTAGGCCTCTATAGAAATACAGGAAAGTGCGAGGTAAATGTCATATGACAAGAAAGCCAATAGACGGCCTTCATTTTGTTTAATTTCCTTTGAAGTATTCTATTAAACATTTGTTTACATTTACACTATATTATAATATCATATCGACTATTTCACATAATCCTAATTTTAAACAGGGTATGGATAATAAATGCATTACACCCCATGCCATGTTTTGATTTAGTTCAAACTGCATGCCCGATAATTTCCTTATTTTAATTTAGTAAATCTGTTTTTATTTTAATAATTACATATTTGCCTATACGAGCTTCCTTATGAGATCAATTGCTTGATTATTTCTAACCCTGTACTCTCCCCCCCCCCCTAAACATCAGCATGCAACAAGACAGCAACCGAACGACACATATAACCAACAGATAACTAAAGGACATAATAATTAATGACGGACTTGGCAATTCAAAGATTATTACAGACACAGCTGTGTAAATGTTGTTACATTTTTATTCACCTGTCTTAAGTCAGGAGCCTGTTGTTCAGTGGTTGTCAACAGTGTTGATGTGGTTCATAAGTATTTCTCGTTTCTAGTTTTTTTATATAGATTGGACCGTTGGTATTCCTGTTTGAATTATTTTACACTAGTCATTTTGGGGCCCTTTATAGCTTGATGTTCGGTGTGAGCCAAGGCTCCATGTTGAAAGCCGTACATAGACCTATAATTGTTTACTTTTTACACATTGTGACTTGGATGGAGAGTTGTCTCATTGGCACTCATACCACATCATCTTATTTATACATTGTGACTTGGATGGAGAGTTGTCTCATTGGCACTCATACCCCATCTTCTTATTCATACATTGTGACTTGGATGGAGAGTTGTCTCATTGGCACTCATACCACATCTTCTTATTTATACATTGTGACTTGGATGGAGAGTTGTCTCATTGGCACTCATACCACATCTTCTTATTTATACATTGTGGCTTGGATGGAGAGTTGTCTCATTGGCACTCATACTACATCTTCTTATTTATACATTGTGACTTGGATGGAGAGTTGTCTCATTGGCACTCATACCACATCTTCTTATTTATACATTGTGACTTGGATGGAGAGTTGTCTCATTGGCACTCATACCACATCTTCTTATTTATACATTGTGACTTGGATGGAGAGTTGTCTCATTGGCACTCATACCACATCTTCTTATTTATACATTGTGACTTGGATGGAGAGTTGTCTCATTGGCACTCATACCACATCTTCTTATTTATACATTGTGACTTGGATGGAGAGTTGTCTCATTGGCACTCATACCACATCTTCTTATTTATACATTGTGACTTGGATGGAGAGTTGTCTCATTGGCACTCATACCACATCTTCTTATTTATACATTGTGACTTGGTTGGAGAGTTGTGTCATTGGCACTCATACCACATCTTCTTATTTACACATTGTGACTTGGATGGAGAGTTGTCTCATTGGCACTCATACCACATCTTCTTATTTACACATTGTGACTTGGATGGAGAGTTGTCTCATTGGCACTCATACCACATCTTCTTATTTATACATTGTGACTTGGATGGAGAGTTGTCTCATTGGCATTCATACCACATCTTCTTATTTACACATTGTGACTTGGATGGAGAGTTGTCTCATTGGCTCTCATACCACATCTTCTTATTTATACATTGTGACTTGGATGGAGAGTTGTCTCATTGGCACTCATACCACATCTTCTTATTTACATTGATTGCTATTAATTTTGATCAAACGAAAACATGTCTACAAAAGCTAAATCCGAAACGTACGGAAGTCGGTTTGTGTCAGGGTGTGGTTTTATTTTTATGCCGTTTTAACGAAACTACATCCTGACACTAACCGGCTTCCGTAGAATCGCCAGTGATTGATAGATTTGTGTTATGTATATTCAGGACGAAAACAAATTAACACTAAATTCAATGGGTAGGATCTCCAAAGTGGGTCGATTTGGGAGAAGGGTTGGGGATATAAACTGCAACTAAATGCAGAGGGATGTTAGATAGAGACGATATATGTTGCTTTGAAACTGGCAACCTACTGGACCCTCAAAGAGGCGTCGGATTGACACACTGGCCCCAAAATTTCGCTCTCACTGGGTTGTGTTTTCATAAATCATATACGGCCAAATGGGCACCCTTTTGATCACGGTTCTACTGCCAAACGGGAGTAACTAGCACAGGTGACCATGTAATGTATACCCCTGCCAATCCTTTTGATTCATATAATTACAAAGATATATTGCGAAAAACAAGAAATAGTCGGTCCTTTCACGTGACACTCTCATTGTCAAATATCTGTCGTTAGATTTTCTGATTTCCTTCAAAAACATAAAAAAGCAATTGAGAGTCACAAGAGTTTAAAAATGAGATACAATAAACATAATTATCGTAATGTACCGTGAAGACGTAAACTAATTGACACTAATGTTGGAAATACCAATATCTAAAATTATGTAACATTTGTTATACTTGTTTAAGTAAACAACTAATTTGCTTGTTTAATAACGTCTGAGACATAGAGCAATGTCGGTATTGGCATACTTTAGAATAGTAAAACTGTAAAAGTTATAACAAATAGGACATGGAAAAAAACATCTACGCATAAAAAGTAATTTGAATTTGAAACATGCGTATCATAAATACATGTTATACTGATGAAGCTGAATGTTAAATACATTAATTGATTCAGAAAAAAATAGTACATCACTTGACCAAATAATTGGAATATAAAATATGTGGTCACGTGGTCATATAGTGGTTAAAGTAAATAAGAAAATTCTGCTTCAATGTCGTAATATAACCGCGATTGCACGAAAATTTCGAGCTTCTTTTTACCAGCATCACAAAGCTTAAAACACATTATTTATTTAACTCAAATGGTATTGAATAAAGTACTTATTAAGATCATGCAAGTCAGTTAGTCCAAAAAAATTAAAATAGCCTTGCAAGACGTCATAATTATTTGGCCTAGCAAGTCAGTATGAATATTTTTTTAATCGGTGGCAACAAAATAAGTTAATATAGCAGAAGTAGAAGAAATGAAGCGGTTTGAACTTTCAATGAGAAACTGCACAAGCAATGCAAGCTTAATGTATGAACCGCAAAATAGTCTCTTCAGCAAAAATCCAGAATGCAAAATTCAAACTCAAGGACGATCAAGACTTACCATCTCTACGACTGTTTCCGGTACCAATAACATATTGAGAACAATTTCGGGGGAAATCCTTAAAATTCGGAAACATGAACTAATCCATTACTATGAATATTTTCAGAAAACATCATTGAAATCATTCAAACTAACCGTTATTATATATGTGCACACTGACGACATTTTTTCAATGTGTTAAAAACGTGTCCAGAATCAAACGACATTTGGATGTCTAATTTATGCAATAAGACCAAGGGTACAATCGCAATGCATCCTGGTGATATTATGAAATAATTAATAGAATTAAGCACTAAGTGAGTTACCGCACGTATATCCAAACAATTCACATTAATGTTACGAAATAGTTTTTCGTCGTTATGTAAAGTGATGGGGTGACTGCCAATACATTTGGCAAGTGATGTAGTTTAAATGCCATGTGTGAAGACTCGACAAACACGTTGGCCTTATGGTAAAATTATTTTTAGTTTCCTGAGTGCCAAAGTATAGACTCGACAAACACGTTGGCCTTATGGTAAAATTATGTTTAGTTTCCTGAGTGCCAAATTATAGACTCGATAAAAGAGAGGTGAAAAATACCGAAGGGATACCGAAGGGATACTCAAACTCATAAGTCGAAAATTAACTGACAACGCCATGGCCAAAAAAGAAAAAGACCAACAGACAAACAACAGTACACAAAACACAACATAGAAAACTAAAGACTGAGAAACACGAACCCACCAAAGCCTGGGGGTAATCGCAGGTGCTCCGGAAGGGTAACAGATCCTACTCCACATGTGGCACCGGTTGTGTTGCTCATGTTAGTACAGACCCGGTGATAAGTCTAATTCGGCAGGTCACATTCGGGGAAAAAGGGACAGAATTGTTGTTAAATGTACGACAGTTGTAACATATCCGTTGTCATCTGCGAAACGGATATTCCATAACGGTCAACCAACCCGTGATGTCGTCTGTAAAATTTACGAAGGGATGATTTCAACTTCACCAATTTGAACTCTTGATTGAATAGCTTCCTTGTGAGCAGCAACCCTCTATGAAGGAAATCATGATAGGAAATACAAGCCCTAGAATATCGTGTCAACTGGGAGATATATACTCCACGTTGGCCTTATGCTAAAATTATCTTTAGTTTCTTCAGTGTCAAAAATGTATACATGTATAAGGAAGTTTGTTCTAGCAAAACCATGCAGACCCGTACTCAACTTATACTTGCTGACTGCAACAACTGTAAAGAAAATAGGTCACAGATATTCGTGATTTTCTTTTTCAACTTCAAATTTGATTTAGTTATTTATGACATGAGCAAGAAGTGTTTGATAAAAGTTCTGACATTTTGATTTATAAAAAGAGGCGAAAGATACAATTATCGTATAACATAACAAAATCAAATTTTAAGATGGAACACTTTATATTGACAGAATCAATGTTAAAATCTAGTCTTTATTAAGATTTATTTAGTGTATTGAAATTAAATATGGTGACTGGTCGATACATCGATCAACGAAGGGAATTAGGTATAATTTGTAAATGTTGCACTATGCGATTCTTAGAGAATGAATATCATTTTATCATGGATTGTCCAGCAGACAGACAGTATAAAGTAAATAATACGTTTTAAGATATTATTAAACATGGCCAAATATTAACAATCTGTATGCATTACTACAAGTTCAAATAAAAAAGTTATTTACAATTTGATGTGTTTTTGCATGAAAGATGGAAACTGAGAACTCGCATATTAAGGATGATCGCTACTCCTGTTTCTGAATTTTTGCCAGATATTCGGAATCCTCTGGTTTTATCCATGTAATACCATTAAAAATTTTGCCCGCTTACCCATACTTTTCTTTTCATAATATTAATTATACCATATAATTTTCAAAGCCATATTTGAAAATCTTATAAAATCCTTGTTATATTTTCATAGTTTTTGAAAGAAAAAAGGTGCCAATGTTAAATATATGAAAAATCTAGAGAGAATCATTTCCCGCCAAATTTTCAATGGCTTGTATCTCGAAAACAAGCACACTGACCCTTCATTTTTTCCTGCTTTTTTAGTTTCTTTGTTTATATACTACCAATTTTTAACAGACTTTTTAAAAGCTTGTTATTTTGAAACAGAGTAGCGAACATCCTTAAAGTATTTTTGTCATAAACATGCATTGAGTTCATACTGTATAGTATGTTCTTAGCTGTTATATATAATTTTCTTGTTAAAACTTTAATGTTGCTTACAAATGATATTGTTATAATTTATTTATTATATAACATAATTGTGCTTATTAGTAGTATGAAAAGGCCGATTCTGCCGCAATCACATTTTCAAGGGGAAATCCTGCATAGGACCCCCAGCCCCGACGGCCAAATGCAAACGGACGGCATCCCTATTGAGCATAGGGTAAATACAAGAATGGCATATGTATTCGATGGTAGAAAAGTCGCTCCAGAGGATAGTGGGGATAAGGATACCTTAAAGGGAAGGATGTCACAGATTAAAATAAATAAAGATATGACATCCGAAAGAAATATGATGGATTTCTTTCTGGAGAATGAAGAAGATTTGGAGGATAGCACCCCAACCCCCCAAAGGCAGCAGCAGTGCTGCAATGCTCCAAACATAGTGCAGATGGATGAGCATACCGAGCAGTGTCAAAAATGCGGTTCACAATCCACCAAGTTGCGATTTGAGCATCATCAACCAGGGGAGCAAAAGACCACTTGCAATGTTCCGCTCAAGAGGAAGAAGGGTCAGTTCTGCAAGAGCAAGCCTGGGAAGGATGGTCTCTGCTGGAGACATAGCAAGCAACCACGCCAGCAGGAGGAGGAGGAGACCATCCCAGTCGAGGGTAAGATGGTGGTAAAAGAGACCATGAAGACCCTCCGTCAAATAGCTAAAGATGAGGGTCTGAGGGGGGTCAGTAGGAAGAACAAGGAGGCCTTGGTGAAGCTCATCGAGGAGAAAACCACCCATAAATTTGCCCGCCAGGAAGTCTTCAGCAAGAAGCAGCTCAAAGCGCTAGCAAAGAATCGTGGCCTCACCAAGTACTCTCAACTCAAGAGAGACGATCTGATCCAGCTGGTGGAAGAGGACATCAAAAACGCTCCAGTCGAGGATGAGATCAAGGTCATCGATAGGCGGGAAGCTCTGAATGGCGTATTTGGCACGGTCGTCATCGAACCCGCGAAGCCGCACGATATGACCACTTTTCTGAAGGTAAGTCGGAGCACCATCACCAGCGCCATCTCGAATGTACTCGTTCAAAAGAAGGGATTGAAGGTGCACTTAGTGCTTCTAGCAGAGCTGGTGAAGACCAACCTCACGACCGGAGAAAATACCTACATCACCCCTACCTTCAGATCACGCACGACAATGATCACGGAATCTGACGACCTCGAATTGGAGATTGCCTTCATGATGGAGAAGGTCAAGGAAAATATGGCAAAGTACATGCGGGAAGGGAGCGGGTGGACTTTCAGCAGCGTCGAGAAGCTAGAAATCCACCTCAACCAATTCAAGCCACTCAAGGGGGGCTCCTTCATATCAACCCCATCGGCTCTCGTGAAAAAGAAGGCGATCGTCAATGTGAAAAATGAGGATGATCGCTGCCTCCAGTGGGCAGTGCTGGCAGCCCTTCACCATGAGGAAGTCGACCAAAAATCCACCAACCGCGTATCGCAGTACAAGAAATGGGAAGAAGAGCTAAAATTCGAAGGCATCGACTTCCCAGTCTCGCTCAGGGCGATCGATAAATTTGAGAGGCAGAATCCCACAATCAACGTCAACGTCTATGGCTTCAACGGCGTAAAGAAGGGTGAGGATGAGGAAGAGGATCTTCAGATTTACCCCCTCAGGATATCTAAGAATACGGGCCCCACCCACGTAGATCTCCTCTTCTTGACTCGCGAAGGTAAGCAGCATTACTGCTGGATCAAGAGCCTCTCACGACTCTTGAGCTCTCAAATCTCTGAGCACGGTCATGAGCTTTTCTTCTGTCGCAGATGCCTTTCCCACTTCTCCAGGCAGAATATCTTGGACGAGCATATGGAATATTGCAGCAAGAAAGATGCAGTCAGGATCGAGATGCCGGAAGAGGGGACCACCATAGCCTTCCATAGTATCAAAAAGATGATGAGAGTCCCCTTCGCGATCTACGCGGATTTCGAGTGCTTCACAGAGAAGCTCGACACCTGCCAGCCGGATCCATCCCACTCCTACACGAATGCCTACCAGCTTCAGCGACCTTCAGGCTTCTGCTATCACGTGAAATATGCTCACGGAGACTACAAGGATCCGGTCGTCTACTGCGGGGAGGATGCGGCAAAGAAATTCGTGCAGTGCGTGGAGGAAGAAGTGCAGGCCATCGCCAAGCTATACAAGGAGAATAAGCCCATGGAGCTGACTGACGACGATAAGGTGAGCTTCGCAGAAAGCACGCACTGCTACATTTGCGGAGACGAATTGGGAGAGGATAAGGTCCGGGACCACGACCATCTCACCGGGAAATATCGCGGCGCAGCACACAACCAGTGCAATCTGGATTTCCAGCTTCCGAAGCACGTCCCCATCCTCTTCCATAATTTGAGCGGATACGACGCCCACATCTTTGTCAAGGAGCTTGGCCACACCGAGGGTAAGATCAACTGCATCCCCAATACCGACGAGAAGTACATCAGCTTCTCCAAGCAGGTGGGTGATCTGGAGATGAGGTTCATCGACTCGTGTAGGTTTATGCTCAACAGCCTGGATACCCTAGCTAAGAATCTCACCCCCGACCAATTCGCGACCGTGAAGACGAGATTCAGCGATCGCCACGAGCTGATGATTCGGAAGGGGGTATTTCCCTACGATTATATGGATGGACCAGCCAAGCTGGAAGAGACTCAGCTCCCACCTAAAGAAGCCTTCTTCAGCACGCTCTCCGGAGAGCATATCAGTGATAAGGATTACGCACACGCTCAGAGAGTCTGGGAGACCTTCGAGTGCAAGACCCTACGCGATTATCACGACCTCTATCTCGAGACTGACGTGCTACTGCTAGTCGACATCTTCGAGAATTTTAGGGATATCTGCATGGCCAACTATGGACTCGATCCTGTCCACTACTTCTCCTCCCCCGGGCTATCCTTCGATGCCATGCTAAAAACCACCGGGGTTAGATTGGAGCTTCTTTCCGATCCAGATATGCTGATGATGTTCGAGAGCGGGACAAGGGGAGGGGTGGCCATGATCTCTCATCGTCAAGGTAAGGCCAACAACCCCTACATGGAGACCTACGATCGCTCCCAGCCCACCAAGTA